ATGGCAAGAATATTGTTAACGTCGAGGTTGAAATCGAAAAAATTTGATGTGGTTCAGGGTTGTTATTTGAATTGAAAACTTGTTTGGGTTGTAAAATGAGATGAGGGGTATCTGTTACGTACTCGCCACTGCCAGTCTCATCTTTCCCGGAACGCGATCAGGGGTATCTGTCACGTACTCGCCACTGTCAGTCTCGATCTTAGTTCTCCTAACTCTTTGATGCGCATTTCTGTAAGATTGTTATTTCCTGCTCGGCCCTACGATGGGCGCCAAACGTTGATAGTGATTTGACGGAATAAAATTTAATTTAGGAACGAATTTGGTAAAAAAATAAGAAAGTTTGACTGACATATATCTAAAAGATGAAAAGTAATTTGATTTAGAAGTGAGATATAATTTGGTTATCACTTATTTATATTGTGTTTATCTTAAAAATTAAATAGTAAGAATTAAACATACAATTCAGTTGACCATATTTAATACTTAATAAACAACAAATTTAAAATAATTATAAATAAAATTGACAAAAGTTGCAATGAGTTGGCACTCTAGATGAAGGAAGTTTAGTTTGATTTCATATATATGTTTTTTTATCAATTAAATAAAAATAAATAATTTAAGTTTTTTAATGGTCATCCTGAATTTTATTAGAAACTAACAAAACTAACACAAAAACAAAATAAAAACCAACACTCTAAAAAAAACAAATCAATCATTTTGTTTTCCTTCTACACTAGTTCTACATGCAACAACAAGTTAAAGAAAATAATGTATTAGTGATAATAGAACAACAACCGAACAATGTACCTATGTACTGATTGGATGGTACGACTCCAACAAGACAGGCCAAACCAATGACCATGTATCATCTAGTAATGTAATACTCATACTCATATTGGAGGGTTCAAATAGACTCCATGAACCAAAAAATAGACTGCGAAGATTTTTTAGTGGCAATAAATAAGATGAGAAGATGAATGAGATTAGTTTAAGTGTCGCTGAAGTCGCCAAAATGAGTTGCAACTATCACTTGAATATTATGCGATCAGTTATCGTTACAAAACTATCTTTTTGTGTCGTTGGCGCTGGCTGCAGTGACTATTATCGAAAGAACATGGCCAAAGTACATATAAGGTTGGCAAAAAGTACAAACCATAGTATCTTTCCACTTGATCAAAGCCAATTAAGTCCTAGTTTCCATCTATGAGTCTAGAAGACACTGATACAACTCTCATCCTTTTGAGCCGGAGGATCTCAGAAAATGGATTATCACCATCAATACCAACATGAGACAGGACAAAAATATAAAAAACATAGGCACTTTTTGGAATCCCTCATAAATAATACAAAAAAATTAGCATTAGGTGGTTGCTAGGAAGAGAGTAGCAGCACCTCTCTATTAGTCCAAAAATTTGATGCTTCCAAAAGAGATTTATATAACTCAACTTAATTAAAATCAAATTCTTTTTTCATGAAAACAGAAAACTTTGTAGAGTTACACCTCAAAAGTGCGTGTCCCTAAAGGTCTCAGCTATTTGAGTAAACTGACCAAAACAATGCAAGAAAAAGCCATATTGCAACTTCCTCTGGTTTTCACACTGGTTTCTTCAGACACTGAACCGGCTTCTTCTCGAATCGTCCTGCACATAGACAACGATTTATTAAGCAACATGAGGGATAAACAATGAACAAAAAGATGATAGCTTCTAAAGAAAAAGTGTAATTACATGGTTAGTGAAAGATATCTTGTCGGTGACATCAAGTATCTCCTTCCACTTCTTCCCAATACCCATCTGGATTACAAAAACAAACATCAAGTGGTAAGTTCATCAGGCATGTTCATTAACCAATCTTAACAAACAGAGTATCTCAATCATCAGAACCCGGCAAAACTACTAAGTAGTAGGATTGACAACAAAGCAAGAAGATACGAGTTGCTACCAAATGTAGTTAAGCATGCCACACAAATAGTCAGTCCACTATGTATCATTGAAAATCTCCGTCCTATGTACCATTCGACTATTGCTTTTAACAATAGTAAGCAATCAACGCGTTCAAACCAAGGTAGTGCACCTCTTTGTATACAACCATCAAAAGCAAAAAAAATGGAACAATATAACAAAATTAAATTCAGAGATCGCAACTGATTACAGCTAGAAGAAAACAACAAAAGCAAGCACACAAACACCAATATTAGTGAGAAGAGAAACATCATACCAGAACAGCTTCATTAGATTTCGTCCTAGTCCATAACGAAAGCTTATCTTGCTTCGCACCCGGACGGACACTAGCAACCACACCACATATCTCATCCGCCTCATCAAACTGCTCCCCAATTAAAGCCATCAACTGCAAAATCACAAAAGAGAAACTCCCTAAATTAACAAATCAGCCAACAACAAAAAGTCCAAAACACACACAAGAGAGCAAAAAAGTTTAAAAAGTAAATACAGTTTCAAGCCAGCCATTGTTTAAAGCTTCCTTCCTGTTATTGGTAACAACCCAAGTCCACTTCCCTCCATTAGCACACTCAGGATCTTCCCACTTTGGCTCAACACCAGCTTTGAACAAGTGAATCTCAGCATTCATTGTCAATTTGCTAGTCTGGAATATAGTCTCCTGCAAACTACAAAAACAAAAAGTCCAATACACCCAATATCAAATTTTCAAAATCCTAATCCTGAGATCTAAACTCTATTAGAATCACACAGATCGAAGAAACAAAATCACATCTGCAAACGAATTCAAAAGCTATAGATTCATAATATTGAAATCAAAGGAGGAGGAGAAAGAGAGAAACACAAACCCCCAAAACTCTTCGACGGTGTCGAATGTGTAGGCTTTACGAAGAGAAGCTCCCCAGGCGGCGCCTTTCTTTGATTGGTTATCGAACCAGAAACTCCACTTTCTCTCGAGCTTGTGCGGTTGTTTCTCCGCCTCAGTCGCCGGTAACTCCGCCGCCGCCGTCGGGAGGGGCTCGTTCACATCTTCGGTCGCCATATTCTTCGCAAGTTGTGTTTTTGTTTCTCTGAGGTAAATCTCTCGATGGGTCAAACTGAGAGATTGATTGAATTGTGACATATTTTATGGAAAGTAAATGGGCTCTCTCAGGACTCTATTGGGCCTATTTTGGGCCTGTCCATCAAAATATTTTAACCCCCTCTTTCTTTTCTCTGTTAATTGGACTAGTTTGTAAGATTGATTCTTCAATCAATAATATTTGAGATTGATCTCTATCAGTGAAAACTTATCATTTTTAATATATAGAGTATAAAAATATATATTTTTAAACTACATAGTGTCATAAAAATGTATCATAATTTATATTAGTTATACGATTCGCACAATATAATTAAATTCGCGTAATTTTTGTTTGGAAATTTTTTAGATATTGATAACCAATAACTAAATTAATGTATGTTTCAGGTTTTCTAACTCATATTCGAGTAGTGTTGTACTGAAATCATATAAAATTATTGCGGCAAATACATTTTATAAACACAGATAAGTAGCAAAAATGTTCAAAAATAATATTTCGTTATTCAAGCCTTAAGAAAAATTAGTAAAAAATGTATATAAATATGTAATTTGTAACATATGGACAACAAACAAACACTTGTAATTTTCAAAAAAAAATATCATAAAAAGTAGTAATTTTTAAAAGTCAAAATTCTCCTCTTGGTTTGATTTGTTACCACTTTTAGCGTTTTTTATACTGTAAAAAAGACTTAAGAATGTATTTGGAGCATGCTTATTGAAGAACAACCACATAAAAAAAGAAGAAGACATACAGAAGTTTTGAGGTATTGAGAGATAGAGGTTTACAAAGGAGACCTTATCTGCAGAAGACAAAAAGCCATTTTTTTTTTCTAAGTAAAAAAAAACATAAAGAGATTGAAACACAAATATGCGCCACTCGTAGTCCACCCCTATCTCTTTGGCAAAAGCCACTTCACACTCTTCTCTAAATCCCATTTCTTTATTATTCTTTCTTTCTCTAAAGAAAAAGATTCTTTAACTCTTTTATAGTTTTGTCAACTCTTTCATTGCCATCTGTTACAAAACACTACACCACACCTCTTCTTGATTCATCAGTTTCAAGTCTTCTTCTTCTAGTCTCAGGTACCTTCTCATTCTCCTCTCTCTCTCTCTCTCTCTCTGTTACTTAGCATTTTGATCTGATCTTGTGTTTTGTAATAAACCCATTTCTTGTTTCTTGTAATAGAGAATCTTGTTTTTTGTAATGAAAAGTTAAACTCTTGTCTTTCATTTGCTTCTCTATAGTAGAGATCTCGGGTCCACCATTTTTACTAATTTTATCAATAGCTAACTTTATGAACATGGATCATCATACCTTTATGCTATTTTTAATGGATCTCTTTGTTCTTTAGCTTATAGTTTAATGTATTTGGTTTTACTTTCTTAATCACCTTTTTTGAGCATTGGTGGATTTGGGTTTAGTTTAATCAGTGTTCTGGTCAAGAATCTTGAATGATTCAGACCAAAGTGGATAAGTCTTTTAAATCTTATATATAGATTCCTGATTTGGATTTTTTGTTTTTGGTGGACTTTTTTTTGAGTTTTGTCAGGGATCAAATCAATCCAATGGCACAGATCTTAGCAGCTTCACCAACAACATGTCAGATGAGAGTGCCTAAACACTCATCAGTCATCACTAACAAGTTGTGGAGCTCTGTTGTATTGAAACAGAAGAAGCAGAGCAGCAACAAACACAGAGGCTTTAGAGTTCTTGCTCTCCAATCTGATAACTCTACTGTCAATAGAGTTGAGACTCTTCTCAACCTTGACACCAAGCCTTATTCTGACAGGATCATTGCTGAGTACATTTGGTATGTATATATATTATATCCACTCTATCCGCTTTTCCGGATTTCTTCGATATTTTCTAACTTGTTTGATTTGGCTATAGGATTGGAGGATCTGGAATTGACCTTAGAAGCAAGTCAAGGGTATGTATACATTCTCTAGACTGTTACTAAACTTTATGTTAGTCACTATGAATGATTAATAAAGTTTATGGATGGTTTCAGACTCTCGAAAAGCCGGTCGAAGATCCTTCTGAGCTTCCCAAGTGGAACTATGATGGTTCAAGTACCGGACAAGCACCTGGTGAAGATAGTGAAGTGATTCTATAGTAAGAGTTATTGTCACATTTATAATCTCATTATCTCTTTTATCTCACAGTCTCATATTATGTATGACCTTTGTGTTACTCAGTCCACAAGCTATCTTCAGAGATCCTTTCCGTGGGGGAAATAACATTTTGGTATGTGTCATTTAGTTTCATAGTATAAGCTAAAGTTTTATAACTCACACACTAATTATTGAGATTTTGTTATGTTGAAGGTTATTTGTGATACTTGGACACCAGCTGGTGAGCCAATCCCAACAAACAAACGTGCCAGAGCTGCTGAGATCTTTAGTAACCAGAAGGTCACTGATGAGTTGCCATGGTTTGGTATCGAACAAGAGTACACTTTACTTCAGCAAAACGTGAAGTGGCCTTTGGGTTGGCCAGTTGGAGCATTCCCTGGTCCTCAGGTAATAATAATAATCAAGAAAAGCAAAGAACTATGTTTTGTGTTGGTTTACAAAGCAAGTAACTAATTCTCTGTTCTGTTTTTGTTATCAGGGTCCTTACTACTGTGGAGTTGGAGCTGACAAGATTTGGGGACGTGACATTTCAGATGCTCATTACAAAGCTTGTTTATATGCTGGAATTAACATTAGTGGTACTAATGGTGAAGTTATGCCTGGACAGGTCTCTTTTTTAAACTGAGCTCTTACAAGTTATTGCATGTTTTATATACTTAAGTTTCCAGTCTTCTGATGTGTTTATAAGCAATTGTTCAGTGGGAATTCCAAGTTGGCCCGAGTGTTGGAATCGACGCAGGTGATCATGTTTGGTGTGCAAGATACCTTCTTGAGGTAATCAAATGTTTTATCTTTTGTATAGAGTGAGTGAGAGTTCAGTTCTTGAAACTGTTGTTACCTTTTTATGGCAGAGAATCACAGAACAAGCTGGTGTTGTCCTAACACTTGACCCCAAACCAATAGAAGGTGACTGGAACGGTGCTGGTTGCCACACCAACTACAGTACAAAGAGCATGAGAGAGGAAGGAGGATTTGAGGTTATCAAGAAGGCTATCTTGAACCTCTCACTTCGTCACAAGGAGCACATCAGTGCTTACGGTGAAGGAAACGAGAGAAGGTTGACCGGAAAGCACGAGACAGCTAGTATCGACCAGTTCTCATGGGTATGCTTTTGCAATACACTAAGTCATTATTTTGTGTTTCTCTTCTCATTTGGTTTAAACATTAACTTGTTAGGGAGTGGCTAACCGTGGATGCTCTATTCGTGTGGGACGTGACACCGAGGCTAAAGGAAAAGGTATTGTTTCCAGAATGGTTACACACATATTAGTTTTATGCTATATATTTGGTAACGTGTGTTGTTTTGTGGATTGGAACATAGGTTACTTGGAAGATAGGCGTCCAGCTTCTAACATGGACCCATACATTGTGACCTCACTTTTGGCAGAGACCACACTCCTTTGGGAGCCAACACTTGAGGCTGAAGCACTTGCAGCTCAAAAACTTTCCTTGAATGTTTAAAATTAGTCGACGCTTTCAAGAATCCTATGAACACATGATGTCTATGTGGTCCATCCTGGATCATAAGGTTTGTTTAAAACATTGGTTCGGATTAAGACATCTCATTTGTTATCTTTTTTCATTTGTATTGTTAAAACTCAGAACTGTACTATGTGGGCAATGTTCATCTTTTTTTTTATATTGGTTCTTTTGACTGTTATGGTCTTACTGTTAAGATATTGTACTAGTCATCATCATAGCTAATGTGATGAAGCTGGTTAAAGTGAAACATGCTGAAGCATCCATATGATCCGAAAATGTAATGTAAGAACTTGATACAAATATGTTAGACGATGCCAAAGTGAGGTTGCATGATCTAAGCCAACAAGAGAAGGTTTAAAAGAAGCCTTTGTGTTCTTGCAAAATCAAACATTTTGAACACATAAAAGTTATGTATGTTCAAATATTATTTCAATCATGCATACGTATGTGTGTGAAACGAATGTGAAAATCCTGATAACAACTCAACTTGTAAAGATATATTGAGTATAGGAAGAGTAAAAGATACAACGTTACATGAGATGAGTCTTGCATGATAGGTTATGTGCGGTAATGCATCGGTAAACCGTGCACCAAACTTATTTATTCTAGTTCACTATTGGCATACACTTTACATTTCTACGTACTCATAATATTATGGTTTGCAGTTGTGAGTAGAGACGGTCCATTCTACACTCCGCCTCCACCACCACCTCCTCGGCCACCGCCTCCTTTCCATCCCCGGCCACCGCCTCCCTTCCATCCTCTGCCACCACCTCCCTTCCAGCCTCCACCACCTCCTCCTTTCCAGCTTTGATCAGTTTCATAATTGTTATCTTCTTCTTTCTCAAGAGTGGCTTCCACCTCAGCACCGCCTCCACCACCTCCTCGGCCACCGCCTCCTTTCCATCCCCGGCCACCGCCTCCTTTCCATCCTCTGCCACCGCCTCCCTTCCAGCCTCTGCCACCACCTCCCTTCCAGCCTCCACCACCTCCTCCTTTCCAGCTTTGATCAGTTTCATAATTGTTGTCTTCTTCTTTCTCAAGAGTGGCTTCCACCTCAGCACCGCCTCCACCACCTCCTCGGCCACCGCCTCCTTTCCATCCCCGGCCACCGCCTCCTTTCCATCCTCTGCCACCACCTCCCTTCCAGCCTCCACCACCTCCTCCTTTCCAGCCTTGATCAGTTTCA